AGCAACACCACCAGCACCATCATAGAAAGATTTGGCGCAGAAATAGGAGCTGGAATCGCTGTCCCTGAGGTCACTCATGGTCAGCGTCACCGAGCTCTGCCCGTTGTCCCTGGCGATGGTCACTCGGCCCTTGACCGATGGCGCGTAGTAGGGGCTGCCACTGCTGTCGATTCTGGCGATGGATTCGAGGCCCTGCCCGGGGCTCTCTCGGCCCCAGCCCATCCCGAATTTCCCGAAATCGAACCCGGAGCCGCGGCAGACGAGGGTCAGTGACGCCCCCGTGGCCGGAGGTCACCGCCGGACCCCAACAGGGTCACTCAGGGGGTCACTGACCCTCGTCTGCCACGGCTCCGGATTCGATTTCGGGAAATTTGCGATGTTTTGGATCCGACAGAGCCCCGGGATGGCGCCGGAATGGCTCGCGGGAATCACCAACAGTGGCAGCCCGGAGTACGCGCCATCGGTCAAGGGCCGAGTGACCATCGCCAGGGACAACGGGCAGAGCTCGGTGACGCTGACCATGAGTGACCTCAGGGACGGCGATTGCGGCTCCTATTTCTGTGCCAAACGTGACACTGGTGGTGGTGCTGCTTATGGTGCTGGTGTTTTTGGCCCCGCTCCCCATGGCTCTGTCCCCTCCAATCCCCAATCCTTTCCCCTTCTCCAATCCCCACCCCTGACCCCATTCCTGACCCTTTATCCCAAAACTCACCCGACTCAGCAGTGACTCCACGGTCACCATTGGGGGAATGGGGGATATTTGGGGACAGAGGGGAAAGAAAGGGGACAGGGCTGGGATTGGGGACAGTTGGGGACAGAGCCATGGGGCGGGGTCAACACCATAGGCAGTATTATAAGCAGCATCACGAGCAGATTTGGCACAGAAATAGGAGCCGGAATCCCCGTCCCTGAGGTCACTCATGGTCAGCGTCACCGAGCTCTGCCCGTTGTCCCTGGCGATGGTCACTCAGCCCTTGACCGATGGCGCGTAGTAAGGGTAGCTGCCATCGTTCCTGATTCCCGCGAGCCACTCCAATCCCTGCCCGGGGCTCTGCCGCACCCGGAACATGTCAAACTTCCCGAAATCGAACCCGGAGCCGCGGCAGACGAGGGTCAGTGACCCCCCCGTGGCCGGAGGTCACCGCCGGACCCCAACAGGGTCACCCGGACGGTCACTGACCCTCGTCTGCCGCGGCTCCGGATTTGATTTTGGACAATTTGGGATGATGTGGATGCGGCAGAGCCCCGGGCAGGGTCTGGAATACGTCGCCAGCATCAGCACCAGCGGTTCCAGCACCGAATACGCGCCATCGGTCAGGT